GCGACGCGTCCAAGCTGCGGTGGCTGGTGGCGGAGACGTTCGAGCAGGACAAGACGAGCTGCTCGCCCGGCCTCGCCGCGCCCGCCGCCTCCGACGCCCACACGATGCTGCTCGAGGTCGGCCCCCGCCTCACCTTTGCCACGGCGTGGTCGTCCAACGCCGTCGCAATCTGCCAGTCGGCGGGCCTCCGGTCGGTCGCGCGGGTGGAGATGTCGCGCCGCTACCTGATCTCCACCGCCGAGCCGCTCACGCCCGCCCTCCGCGCCGCCGTCTCGGCCGCGCTGCACGACCGCATGACCGAGCAGGTGGGACCTCGCCCACCCCCTCAGGACTCGCTCGACGGCTCGACGCCGTACTCCCTCCCGCTCGAGATGGTCCTCGGCAAGTTGCCGCCAAAGACGTTCGTCTCGGACCGCAAGCCCTACCCGTCCAAGCCCCTCTCCCTCCCCGACGGACTCACCGTCGCCGACGCACTCGGCCGAGTCCTCCGCCTCCCCTCCGTCGGCTCGAAGCGCTTCCTCACAAACAAGGCGCGCCACCCGCCCCAGACACCTCCTAGACACCTCCCAGACACCTCCTAGACACCTCCTAGGACGCCACCCCCGAGATCGCACGAGCCCCTCCCCCGCCCTCACCCCCCACACACGCGGATGGAACTGCGGACGGGAGTTGAAACCCCGGTCGCAGCCCTGCGTGGCAAGAGGCACCAAGGCCGCAAGGCTCTCCCGTGGTGTACAGCTCGCACGCTCACATCCGACACCACCCGCTCGCGGCGCCCGGCGAGAGCTGTGCGGCGCCGCAGCGCCAGCGTATATCTCATACCACCTGCCAGCCGATCGCGCGATGAGGGCGGAGGAAAACCATACGCGGGACAACCCTCTCTCCCCTTCCCCCCCCTCCCTCCGACCCTCCTCCTCCGAGCCTCCTCCTCCGACCCCCCTTCCCCCCCTCTCTCATCCCCCCCCCCCCTTCTGGCGCGCAGGTGGACCGCTCCGTCACGGGCCTCATCGCGCAGCAGCAGTGCGTCGGCCCGCTCCACATCCCCCTCGCCAATTTTTATATAACTATCACAGCC